ATAAATGGAGAGATAAACCATGTTCATAGATTGGAAAACTCAATACTAGGTATCAATTTTCCCCAAATCAATCTCTGCACTTCAAGCTGCTCATATCAAAATTCTGGCAGCCATTGTTAAACAGAAATGTATAAGCTAACTCAAAATTTAAATAGGAGTACAAATAACCTAGAATAGCAAAAACGTTTTTTGAAAAGAATGAAGATGAAAGACTCATACCACGTGACTTCAAGGCTTACTATAAAGCTGCAATAATAAATATATGGTGGTTTAACATGAAGACAGATTAAAAAGTTCAACAAAACAGAATAGAGAGTTCAGAAATAGACTCACAGTTATAAGGTCAATTGATTTTCTACAAAACGTCAAGGTAATTCATTGGGAAAAGTATAATATTTTCAACTGGCATACAGCTGAGAAAAAAAAAAGGAATGTTGATCATCACCTCACAACACAGAAGCCAAGATAATTTAGATGGATAATAAGTCTAAAGACAAATACAAAACTTAAAACATCTAAAAAAAATTTGAGTTTTTGTGACCTTGACATGGGCTGACTTTTTTTTAGATAGAATAAAAGGAAGCAAAAACCATTAATGAAAATATCTGTAAACTCCATCAAAATTTAAAAATACTTCCCAAAAGTCACCATGAAGAATATGATAGCCAAACATAAACTGAGAGAAAATATTCACAAAACATGTATCTGGACAAAAGATACAATAAAAATTGGCAAAGGACTTAAGCAGATTCTTCACAAAGGAAGATATACAACTGACCAATGAGCACATGAAAAAGTGTTCAACATAATTTGTCATCAGGAAAATGCGTATTAAATTAGCTAGTAAATTTTTTTTTTTTTTTTTTTTTTTTTTTGGAGACAGAGTCTCGCTCTGTCGCCCAGGCTGGAGTGCAGTGGCGCGATCTCTGCTCACTGCAAGCTCCACCTCCCGGGTTCACGCCATTCTCCTGCCTCAGCCTCCCGAGTAGCTGGGACTACAGGCGCCCGCCACCACGCCCGGCTAATTTTTTGTGTTTTTAGTAGTGATAGGGTTTCACTGTGTTAGCCAGGATGGTCTCGATCTCCTGACCTTGTGATCCACCCCCCTCGGCCTCCCAAAGTGCTGGGATTACAGGCGTGAGACACCACGCACACCCGACTGCTAGTAAATATTAAATTGAGCAATTGGCTACTATTACACACCCATTGAAATAGCTAAAATTCAAATATTGACAACATCAAATATTAATGAGACTGTGAAACATAAGAATTCTCATAGACTGGTGGGCAGTGTTAAATGAAACAATCAGTTTAGAAAAGTGTTTGTTAGTTTCCCATACGATTAAACACAAATCTACCTAGGACCTGCATCTCACTTTTAGATACTTACCCAAGAGAATGAAAACTCATGTCCACAAAATACACTAGTACATGAATGTTCATAACAGCTTTATTTATAAAAGCCCAAAACTGGGAACAACACAGATGTCTATCAACAGGAAAACAATCTGTGATATGGTCACACAAAAAAATACTACTCTGTAAGAAAAAGGGGTGAGCTTTTAATACACAACAACATGGATAAATCTCATACCCAATATCCTGAGTGAAAGAAATCAGACTTGGTAGTCCCAGCCTTATCCTCGGGAAATATGGTTCAAGACCTGAAACCTCGGATACCACCAAACCTGACTGACCTCTAGGAATGGTACGTAATTTAAAACGTAGAAATTATTTCTGGACTTTTTCATTTAGTATTTTCAGACAGCAGTTGACAGGATAACTGCAGAAAGCAAAACCGCAGATAAGGGGGGATTATTGACCATACCGTATGATTCTCTATATAAAGTTCTCCTGTCAGTAAAACTATTTGTGATGGGAAATAGAAAAGTGAAGAAATTAACTGGGAGTGTCACCAAGAAACTCTCTGGTGTGATGGAAACGTCTGTAACTTGATAGGTTATGGGAGACACAAGTATTTATATATTTGTCAAACATATCAAAGTAGATACTTAATATTTGTACATTTAACTGTATGCACATTTTATGTCAAAAAAATGTAAACAATGAAAGGGTTGGTTTTGGGGTTTTTTCCCTCCAGATTTTACCTTTTTGTAACTTTTTCATTTGTTCTGGTTCTTAACTTAGAATAACTAAAACAAAACTACTCTTCCCTTTACACATGTGTGGTCCAGTACGGTAGTTAGTCTTAAACTGTGGTCTAGTATAGTGAAGGCAGATGAGTTCCAGTATGAGAGTTAATTTTTGTTAGTTGACAGTAGCTACCCAGGGTAGTATTTATAGAAAGAATTTGTGACTTTGTCCAATTTCTCTGTTATAGACTGAATGTTTATATCCCCCTAAAATGTGTATGTTGAAGCCTTAATTCCCAATGTAATAGTATTTGGAGGTGGAGTCTTGGGGAGGTAATTAGATTTAGATGAGGTCATGAAGGTGAAGCCCCAGTGATGGAATTAGTACTCTTAGAGGAAGAGGGAGACACTCTTTCTCTCTTCACCATGTGACAACACAGGGAGAATAGGCTGTCGGTAAACCAAAAATAAAATTTGCTGTCACCTTGACCTCATACTTCTCAGCCTCCAGAACTGTGAGAAATAGACACCTGCTGTTAAAGCCACCCAATCTGTGATACTTTGTTATAGCAGCATGAGCTGACTAAGACACCCTGTGAGGGACTGGAGATCAACTGCTGTCAGTGGGTGAACATTATTTGTCAGGCAAACAGGAGAAGTGATGAAGGAGCTCCAACCCATTCAACATCTTCAAACCTTATCAATGGCAAATTTGGTCTAAAACATCTGAGAGGCTGCCTTTTATATACTTTTGCAACATAAATATCATCAGGTCAACATAAGGGAACATCACACACTGAGTTTTCTTCATATCATGTCATAATAAATGGCAGAGCAAACTGAGGATAAAGTCATCTGATGACAAGTGTTCCTGTCTAACTTTTTACCTAACTACATGTCACAGACCTGAAACTACTGATTATTTTATTCATTTTTATGTATAATACAATATAAATATATACAATGTGTATAATCTATTCATGTATTATTATAAACAATGATAAAATGAACATGAACCAACTACCACTAAGCTTAAGAAATCAAGCAATACCAAACTGGTGAACCCTGGGTGTCTTTCCCTATTATGTTCCCCTCATCACTCCTATGATTTGTGGATTTTTTTCCGAACATTATGTTTTGAAATTAATTCATGTTGACATTGGTAGTTATGGTTCACTAATCTTCACTACCATAAATTATTCCATTCTATCGCACTTTATCCATTCTCAAAGTAGTAATTTTTGTTGGTTCCAGTTCATCACTACTACAATTGATGCTTCTATAAACAGTGAACATAGTCGAGGGTTTTTAGAGTATATTATAGTAGCTCAGTTCCCATGCCAAAAATTGATACTCAATTTTACAAGACAACACAACTTGTTTCCCAAAATGGTTATACCAATTTACACTTCCATCCATTGCATATAAGAGGATTCTTAAAAAATACTTAATACTCTCCAGTGTGTTTTGTTTTTGTTTATATTGAGACAGGGTCTCACTCTGTCACCCAGGCTGGAGTACATTGGCACCATCTCAGCTCACTGCAAACTCTGCCTCCCAGGTTCAAGTGATTCTCCCATCTCAGTCTCTCAAGTAGCTGGGATTATAAGCACGCAACATCAAGCCTTGCTAATTTTTGTATTTTTTGGTAGAGACAGGGTGTTACCATATTGGCCAGGATGGTCTTGAACTCCTGACCTCAAGTTATCTGCCCACTTCAGCCTCCCAAAGTGCTGGGATGACAGACATGAGCCACTGCGCCCAGCCTTCACTGTTTTAATGTGTGGCAATCTAGTGGATGGAAAATCATACTTGACCTTGGTTTTAATTTTGTCTTTCATATTACCAGTGAGGCTAGGTATATATTCATATATTTCTTGGCCTTTTGTTTCTTCTTGTAAGAAAAGTTTATCTGTTTTTGCCCACATTTTCTACTAAATTGTTTGTTTTCCTCTTATTAACTTATAGGTGGTTATTTTTGACAGGCTCAAATCCTTTGTTGGCTTTATACATTTTTCCCAGAATTGTGATGTCTTGTTGCTTTTTAATGATGTCCTTTGATGAGCAGATGTTTCTAATTTAAGCAAAGGATAAGTATTAATCTTTTCCTTGATGATTTTGCCTTTCGGTGTCTTTCTTAAGAAAAATTTCCCTTCATGAGGTCATGAAATTTCTCTCCTATATTTCCTTTAAAACTTTTTTAGTGTTTTTACATTAATATATTTTAAATATCTGGAATAATGTTTTTAGTATAGTATGAAATAGAAATTTTACTTTTTTTCCCATATGGGTAACCAATAATCCAAGCACAGCTTATTGAAGAATTCACCTTTCTTCCTTTGCTCTACAGTTCTTTGCTTATTATATAACAGATTTCTAGACACGAATGGGTCACTTTCTAATATTTCAATGTCTTGCATGGACCTGTGTATCCTTTCCTGTACTATTGTTACATTATTAAATTGCTACAGTTTTATAATAACTTTTGATGTCTTTAAATTAAACCCCCTCACCTTGCTCTTCATGTGAGTCTTGGCCTTTTGCTCTTTCATGGCCATTTTAGAATAATTTATCAAGTTTTGTGAAAAATTCTGTTATTAAATTTGGTTTGATTCTACATATCAATTTGTATAGATCTAATGTTTTTGTAAGTTATACTCTGTGTATCTTGCCAGAGCACAGAAATGCAATTAATTTTTCTATATTAGTTTTATGGTAAGCTTGACAGATTTTGCTATTCGTTTTTTAATATATTGGTTAAGCTATAGCAACACAGAGACTCAAAATTAGAATGGCTTTTCACGAGATGGAATACAGTTTCTCTCTCATGTCATAATTCAAGTTAGGAAGTTCTCTTCTGTGACATCATGTAAGCAGGACCGTCTCTCAGAGCAAACACAGTGGCTGCCCTGGGACCTGCAGTGGGTTCAACCATGTTGTCACATGTGTATTGGCTATTTGGATATACTGTTTCCTGTACCCATTCAAACGTCTTGCTGATCTTCCACTGGATTATCTAATTTGATTAGTATAAATCCTTTATATGTTCTGGATATGAGTAATTGGTCAAGTATATATGCTACAAAAAATCTTATCTGATTCTGGAGTTCTGCTGTTTAACTCTCCTAATAGTGGTTTTTGATAAACAGATTTTAAAAATTTGAATACAGTCTAATTTAACAATCTTTTTCTCTGTGGTTAGTACACTTTTTCTTCTGCTTGCATAGTAATTGCTGACTCAAGATTATGAAGATATCCTCCCTCCCATATTAGCTTCTAGAAGTTGTATGTTGTATATGTCACATTAAGATTTGCAATCCATTGAGGACTGATATTTGTATATGCTATGAGGTGGGTATAAGGTTTTGGTAGGGGTTATATGAATATCCATAAGCCCAGTATCACTTATTAAGAAGTTCATCCTTCCCTAATTCTCTACAAAAGTCACTCTTTTAACCAAGTTGTCTACCTATGTTTGAGTATGTTTCTGAACTTTATACACATATAAATGTCCCATTCATTTATATGTGTATAATTATACTAATGCCACAATCTTAATTATTAGTGTTTTAATAAAGTACATCTTCCTACTTTGTTCTTCCTCAGCTAGTCTTCATTATTTCTGGTTTTATTTAGTTCTGAATAAATTTGAAAGAATTTAATTTCTTCAAATTAATACTAATTTAGAATTATATAACTTCCCAGGTAACTTTGTAAAATACCACTCTTTAGCTCTGAGGATGCTTTCTGCCTAAAATCTGTATTATATAATACAATCATACTCATACTAGTCTTTTTGCATATATTATCCTTTTAATTATATATTTTCACTTTCAAACTTTCTATGTTCTTACATTTAAAGTGTGTCCTCTTTGAGCTACAGATTTTTCAATTTTACAAGCTTTATCTTTTTGTTATTTTGTCCATTTACATTTGACATAATCCCTATTGTATTTGGTATTTCGTTTAAACACAATAGGTTTTTATTTGACCTGTACTTATGGGATTTTTTTTTCTATTCTTCGTGTTTTTTGGTTCATTTTTTAAAACTTCATCTATTTATTGAAATAATCATATATTCACATGCAGTTGAAATAATTGTAAGAAATAATATGGAGAAATCCTTGTATTCTTTGCTCCATTTTTTTAAAAGATAGCATATTGCTAAACTATAGTATAATGTCGCAATCAAAATATTGACATTGATATAATCTGTTGATCTTATTCAGATGTCCCCAGTGTACTTCTGCTCATTTGTATCTGTATATTAAATTCTATATAATTTTATATAATTTTATCACTTGTGTAGGCCCATATATTTAGTATTAACATCTGGAAATTAGGTAAATTTATTGTAGAATTAAGTTTTTTGCTCCTTTTTTTGCAGAAAAAGAACAGCAAGAAGCAATTGAACACATTGATGAAGTTCAAAATGAAATAGGTAACATTTTTCTTAATATACTTTGGATAAATTTTCTGAGATGTGTCTAATGGCCCGGTAATCATTGAAGCTGTGGTCAAATATATCCACTGTCACACTGTCAAAGTGGAAATGATTCTAACTTGGTTGGAAACATTTATGTAGATTCAGTGTTTTTTGGTGAAGTGATTGTACAAAGTTTTTGATGAAAGTACATTGACCTTACAAGGTTTGGGTTTGCTTTCAAAGACTAAAAATTGTCTGAATCGCATATTCATCATCACAATAAAAATATGGAACTGTTCCAATGCCACAAAAATTCTCCATGTTGCTCCCACCCCCATTCTTAATCCCTGGCAACTATTAATCGGCTCTTTATTTCCAAAATTTTGTCATTTTTAAAGTGAAAAGCCTATCCTTCTTCTACTTTTTGGTTTTTTGTCCTAAAAATTAATGGTACATATTTGTGGGACTTTGTTCCTACATTTTCTATTGTGTTCCACTGAGCTGTATGTCTACCCTTCTACCAATATGGCACTGTCTTGACTACTACAGTCATATGATAAGACTTAACATTGGATAGAGTAATTTCCCCCAACTTTTTATTATTTATAAAGATTGCTTTAGCTATTCTAGGGTCTGTTCCTTTCCACATAAATTTTATGTAACCTTGTCTATGTCTACGCAAAACTTTTGATGGGGCACTGGCAGGAACCACACTAAACTGATAGATATGAGAAGAACTGATATACTTATTATGTGAACTCTTCTAATCAATAGACAAGATAGGACTTTTTGTTTATTTAGATCTTCTTTTGGCTTCTTCATCAGAATTTTATAACTTCCAGTATATATACATTCCTTGTTTCATTAAGTGAATACCTAAGCATTTCATTTAGAGTGATTATAAATGGTATCATATTTATTTTTAGTTTCTGCCTGTTCATTGACAGTGTATAGGAACAAAATGGATTTTTGTTATATTGACACCTTACTGAATTCACTTATTAGTTCTAGGAATATTTATAAATTTCTTGGCATTTCCTATAAATAAAATTGTAAATAAAAAGTTTCCCTTTTTCTTTCCAATCCTTATGCCTTTTCTTTTTCTGGACTAGTTCCAGCCCTATTTTGAATAAGAGTGGGGAGAACACACATATTTGCCTTGTTTCTAGTCAAGAGGGAAAGCATTTGATCTTTCATCATTAAGAATAATATTAGTGGTAAATTTGTTTGTTTTTGTAAAGGCTATTTCTCAAGTTGGAGTAATTTCCCCTCTATTCTCGACTTGTAAAAAGTTTTTATCTTGACTGAGCATTGGATTTTGCCAATGATTTTTCTGCATCAATTTTTATGATCATATGATTTTTCTTGTTTAGCTTGCTGATTTGGTGGGTTAAACTGATTTATTTCCAAGTATTGAACCAGTCTTGCATACCTGTAATAAACCTCACTTGGTCACAAAGTAAAATTATTTTTATACATTGGTGGGTTTCATTTGCTAATATTTGGTTAAGTATGTTTGCATCTAAATTGATGGGAGACATAAATTAGTACTTTTATGATGGAAGAACCTTATAATTCCTTAGTTGCATTCACCTTCTTGTGGCTTTCATGCTCTTTCATCTTGTATTTTAGTTCTATATATGTCTCATAAGATAGTATTTTTATTATTTGAAACATCAAATATTTACTTAGGTTTATCTACATGTTTAAACTTTTCACTTCTCTTTACGCCTTTTCTGTATCTCTCATCATTCTTCTTCCCCTTGAAGAATACCCTTTATTATTTTCTTTAGCACAAATACTATGGTGAAAAAAATCCCTCAAGTTTTCTTTCTCTGAAAATGTCTTCATTCTACCTTTATTGTTAAAAGATACTTTCACTAAATATGGAATTCTAGATGGTGTATTTTCTTTCAGCACTTAGAATCTATTATTCCATTGTGTCCTAGCTTCCCCTAGTTTTTATTAAGAAGTCTTGGCTGGGCGCGGTGGCTCATGCCTGTAATCCCAGCACTTTGGGAGGCCGAGGCGGGTGGATCACGAGGTCAGGAGATCCAGACCATCCTGGCTGACATGGTGAAACCCTGTCTCTACTAAAAATATAAAAATTAGCCGGGCGTGGTGGCAGGCACCTGTAGTCCCAGCTACTCGGGAGGCTGAGGCAGGAGAATGGCGTGAACCTGGGAGGCGGAGCTTGCAGTGAGCCTAGATTGTGCCACTGTACTCCAGCTCAGGCGACACAGCGAGACTCCGCGTCAAAAAAAAAAAAAAGAGAAGTCTTATGAACATTGACAGTATTATTGTTACTCCTTTGCTCTCAATGAGTTGGTACATTTATCTAGTCAGTCATAATCAAAAAAGAAAATCTGTCATCACTTCAATCATATTAAGTTCAGCTGCTTTCCCTACAGGTCCAGTTCATGTCTCTCTCATTTTCTTTCATTGCCATTAATTTCCAAACTTTAAGTTCCTGACTTTGATATTTACTCCTAAGGCAGTTTGAGTTTTCTATTTTACCTACCACCCTTATTTCAGTTAATTTATGCTTACTATGTTTTATTTTCCCTTTTTTGTAATCCACAGAGGGGAAGCTCCTCTCCCTTCTTTGTGATCTGGGCAATGCATGTCTTGCTGTTATTGCTGCTTATTCAGGACACATATATTTCTCAGTGTGAAGACTTTTTAGAATACGTATTCCATTCATATTGCTGGAAGTAGGAGTCACACAGATTTCAGGTAACTGTTAACTTCTTTAAATGAAACAAATTTGCACTTGGTTTCTTGTCAGTGTTGCTTCAGAAAAGCAATGGAGTGAAGAAAGCCCTTCCGTTGTTCACCAGGTCAGACTTAGAAGTCACACCAAGAAAGGAAATCACCTTCAACTCTTCAAAAGGATACCACAGAGCCCTAAAATCAAGTAGGAAAGAAAAAAAAAGAACATCCCCCAAACAATTTTTGTGTGAAGATACTGCTACAATACTTCCGGGCCAGATTGTTTTTAGTGCTGCCATCCCGGATTCTTCACAGTGAGGTAACATACATACAGATTACTCATTTCAACTTAATTTGTGACATTGCTGACTGATATAATTCTTTCTAATTTCTAACCAGTACTTTCCTATTAGTACGAACTGCACAATGTTGATTACAAGTTCATGGCACAGCTCCTTTAGGTACAACTCCATGACATTACCAATGACACCTTTAATATCACTGTCTTTTTTTCTATACTATTTTTGTTTCTTTCATAGAACCAGTGGTTCATTAGGTACATACGGCTTACCAAAAGGTATTTAAGTCATTGCTAAAGACCATAGTAAGTCTGATGAAGAGCTTTTGTAACTGCTTATTAAGTACATGAAATCAAATACAAAGTTTATCTTTCTTGTGTGTCTTTTGCAACAAGAGAGAAAGGAGAATATACAAACATCTGCCACAGTTAAAGCAAACCCCAAAAAACTCTAGAGATTAATTATATTGGACACCAACTTGGAAAAATATCAGTATGATGTTTAGAAATGTGAAATCCAGAGTTGCTACCCAGCTTCTTTCAGAAAACATTTTGCCAACTTAAGTATGAATACACATGGTAATAATCAATGCCTATGGCTTTTCTAGGTTATTAAATACCCATTCTAAAATGTATGCATTTATCTTTAATAGCATATTTCTTAATTTAAAACTTAAATACGCTATTATTTTAAAATTATATGTGTTAGGATACAGACTGACATACTTCAAATAAAGAGGAATACTAGCAGAATGTGAAGAGAGTAAAGAAAAAGAAGAAAGTAAAAAATAGGAAAAGTAAAAATGCTAATAAAGAAGGAGAGACAATGGAAAATGAACAAAAAATGGGGGCAAAGAAGTAGTCTGAGAGTAAGAGATGGTTTGAGGTTGAGAAGCAATAGATATAGTAAAATTGCATTGGATGGTTAAGTTATTAACCTATTTGTAAATTACTAACAAATCTATTGCTAAAAACTATACCTTCCATCTGATCTCCAGGTTGATGTTTATGGTTATTTTCTGCACTCGCTCATGGGATGAGTCAGAGACACTTCAAAATCAACAGGTTAAAATCACACCATCTATCCGAACACACCCTTTTTCCCTAAATGTATACATCTAAACCTGCCACTCCCAGTATTTTTTTTTTTAAATCAAAGTAAGTAGTACTGTACCTCGTAGTCATTTACCTAGGCAGTTGTGGTAAACCCTATTTTTTTTTTTTTTTACTTCCTGAACATAAATAGAAAATATTGCCAAGTGATTTTTTTGATACTACCCCAAAAGCACAGGGAACAAAAACAAAAATAAACAAATGAAATTATACCAAACTAAAAAGTTTCTGCACTGCAAAGAAAGATTTAACAGAGTGAAAAGACAAGCCACAAATTAGAAAATATTTGCAAACCACTTATCTGATAAGGAGTTAATACCCAAAATATATAAGAATCTCAAACAATCCAATAGCGAGAAAACAATCCTATTAAAAGAAACACAAAGTACCCAGACAGACATTTTTTTAATAGAAGACATAAAATGACTAAAATAGGTATGTGAAACAAAATGTTCAACATCGCTAATCATCAGGAAAATGAAAATTAAAACTAGAATTAGATATCGCCTCACATCTGTTAGAATGCCTGTTATCAAAAACATGAAACGAAACAAGTATTGGCAAAGACATGGAGAAAAAAAAAAAACCAGATTACACTGTTGTGAGAATGGAAACTAGTAAAATCATTATGGAAAACCATATGAAAGTTTCTCCAAAAAACCAAAACTAGAATTTCCATCTGATCTAGCCACCCCACTTCTGGATACATACTCAAAGGAAATAAATTCAGTATGTTAGAGAAATATCTGCACTCCCATGTTCTCTGCAGCATTATTCACAAGAGCCAAGATATAGCATCAACATAAGTGTCTATCAATGGATGAATGGATAAAGAAAAGGTAATAGATACACACAATGGAATACTACTCAGTCTTTAAAAAGAAGGATATTCTGTCATTTGAAACAACATGATGAACCTGGAGGATATGATGTTAAGTAAAATAAGCCAGGCACAGGAAGACAAATACCACATGATGTCACTTATATGTAGAATCTGAAAAAGTTGAATTCATAGGAACAGAGAGTAAAATGGTGATTACAAAAGTCTGGGGTGGTTGCAGGGAGGGGTGATATTGGTCAAAGAATACAAAATTTCAGTTACATAGAAAGAATAAGCTCAAGAGATCTATTGTACAATATGGCAACTATAGTTAACAACAACATATAATATCCTGGACAACTGCAAAGGGATTAGCTTTTTGAGACGGAGTCTCACTCTGTCACCCAGGCTGGAGTGCAATGGCGTGATCTCGGCTCACTGCGAGCTCCACCTCCCAGGTTCAAGTGATTCTCCTGCCTCAGCCTCCCGAGTAGCTGAAATTACAGGTGTGCACCACCATGACTGGTTGAATTTTTGTACCTTTAGAAGAGAGGGGGTTTCACCATGTTGGCCAGACTGGTCTCAAACTCATGACCTCATGATCTGCCCACCTCGGCCTCCCAAGGTGCTAGGATTACAGCTGTGAGCCACTGCACCTGGCCAAAGGGAGTACATTTTAAGTGTTCTTGCCACAAAAAACAAACAACAACAACAAAAAAGTATGTGAGGTAATGCATATATTAATTAGTTTGATTTCACCATTCCACAATGTATACATGTATTGAAATATCATGTTGTACAAATTGTATAAACATATACAATTTGTATTTGCCAATCTAAGAAAAAATTAAAATATTGCCCAGATTTTTCAGTTAGGTGTAGCCATGTAGCTGACTCTATCAATAGTAGAATGTGGATACAAAATACGTTTGTCCCTCCCGGTTCTTAATTCTTTATATTCTACCTCCCTTTGTCTGACAGTCACATGCACAGAATCTAGTGAAGACAGCAAGGCACTGAGATATGGCAAAGGCACTAAAAGGAAAGAGCCCTGGTCCCTGAATGACTATTTAGAATAGAACCATTCCCCATGACAGACTATTATTAGACTGACATATAAGGAAGAAAAACTTTATTGTATTGGGACATTGAGGTCTGGGAGATTATAATCATAAACGTTTGCCTTTCCTAATTAATTGGTATCTTGAAGTGAGAAACTATGATAATAAATACCAAAAATACATGGCACTGGCTTAGCAGTTGGAAATCAAGCAGTAAAGATACAGCTGTCATAGGTTTTAGCTGTCATAGGTTCTGAAAAGATGGCAAATCATGTTATGCAACATGAAAATATTTAATAAAACTGTTGCCCATGACAATTTAGAAGACAGACCACTTGCCAACAAAATCTCAAGATCTAGGAGAAGTAGCCAGGAAGAATCAGAATGCCTGTTATGGGCTTGCTTAGGCAAGGTATTACAGGAAAGCAATGAGCTCAAAAAAGAATTGGCTTGCTTACTAGTAGAAATGGAATAGAGTATAGAAGTTTAGAAAAAGCTACTGTTACTAGACCTTTAATAATAAGAGATAAATTGAGAAAGAAAGCAAAAAATGTCAAGTAAAGCTTCTCAGTTAAACGAAACATCTCAACCTTGGCAAAAACTGATTAAGTGTCCTAACCTCCTATCCATGCTAATTATTGCATATAGACATAGGTAGCCTCTGTTATATTGAAAGGAAAACACGGAAATGAGAAATAATTTTAAAATGAAAAAAAGTGAATCTGAGAACTAGTTTAGCAAAGAAACTTGAATGTGGTTATTGGCACATGGAACTGTCTGGAAACAATAAAATCAGGAGGCTACTATGTTTGTTTTTTGCTTTTTTTGTTTTTTTTTGGAAAGTTGTTCTGACAAAAAAATGAATACCCTGGTCTAAAAATGCATGTGAATGTTCAGTGAGCCTTAAAACATCCCTCAAGCAAGAATGGACTATGAAATAATGCTTTCTTCAAGAAAGACAAACTCCCCAACATCTACTTCAAATGTGGTCAAGGAATATACAAATAGGCAACATCCCAGAGGGCAGAAAGGGATCATAGACCAGAAGCTGCTCCCAGAGAAGAGAACCAGGACTAATCAAGGAACTTCTTCTGCCTTCAAGGAAAGGGCTTTTCACAATGTCTGTCTAGTGGATTTCAGAATTGCTATACACCAGTGACTACATGTTTTCCCACTGTCTCTTTCTAAATGAGTGTTTATCTGTGCTTATTCAGTCTCTATCACACAATGGTATGCAGGTGTGGGGGAGGTAGAAAATTTGTTATTACAGACCATAAGTCACCAGACTAGGAAGGGACACATATCTCACGGTAAATCATCTGAAGATTCTGCACTTTGAGCAGAATGAGTGACTGGATGGGACTTTAAACTGTCTCCATTGGAAAAAGGATAAATGTCTAAGTGAGAGAGGAATAGTGATAAATATACTTGGTCATTGGAAAGACAGTCTGTGCTTATGTCTCCAGAAACTTCATTTTCTTCTCCTCCTGGACACCCAGAGAGACCAACTTTTCTAGGCTTCTTTGCAATTAGGCATGGCCATATGAATCTGTTCTGACCAATGGAATTTCAGCAGAAGTGAGATGAACCATTTCCATGCCTGGATTCTAAAAAACATTTCACAATCCCCTAGGCTTTCGTTCTTTATTAACCATCTGACTCTGACCCAGAAGCAGAGTCTGAAGCCCTGTGGGATTGCAGAGCCACTAAATAGAAGTAGTTTGGTGCCCTGAATGATTGCATACAGCAAGGACACCCCTATCCACCATACCAAATTGGACTGTCCCATGAGAAAAAATAAACCTTTATTGGGTTAAGCACATTAAGATTATGAGTTACTGTTACAGCAGTAAATCTCTTCTAATAGATCTCTCAAGCTGAACACTGAAAGTAATTCTGTTTTCCACTTTCTCTCATTGAGGTGGTTTGGGTTTACGTCTCCACCCAAATCTCATGTCGAATTACAATCTCCAATGTTGCAGGTGGGGCCTGGTTGGAGCTGAGTGGATCAGGCGCACACTTCTCCTTCACTGTTCTCATGATAGTGGGTAAGTTCTGACGAGATCTGGATGTTTGTAAGTGTGTGGCACCTCTTCCAACTCTCTTTTCCTCCTACTCCAGGCATGTAAGACATACCTGCTTCCCCTTCACCTTTCACCATGACTGAAAGTTTGCTGAGGCCTCCCCAGCCATACTACCTGTACAGCCCATGGAACCATGTATCAATTAAACCTCTTTTCTTTCTAAATTACCTAGCCTCGGGTATTTCTTTACAGCAGTGTGAGAACGGACTAATACACTCATCTCTTACATATGATCATTTTTATATGTCTGTTTTGGCATCTAAATATTTTTCAATTTTTTTCTCACTATCTCTATTACTACTGCCTTAATTTGGGTCCTCATAAGCTTGCACCAGAATTATTGACATAGTCTCTGCAAATGAAAATAGACATACAATGTACCAAAACATATGGGATGCAGCAAAAGTAGTTTTAAAAAGTTTATAACATCAATGCCTACATTTAAAAAGTATTTCAAATAAACAACCTAGCATTATGCCTCAAATAACTAGAAAGAATAAACTAAGCCTAGAGATAGAAGAAAGAAAATAATAAAGATCAGAGCAGAAATAAATAGACACTAGAAAAAGATTGAAGGTATCAATAAAACTAAAGTTGTTTTTTTTTTTTTGAAAAGATAAACAAAATTGACAAAACTTTAGCCAGACTAACAATAAAAAAGAAAAAACTCAAACAAAATTAGGAATAAAAAAGAGATATTAAACTGATACCACAGAAATATAAAAGATCATAAGAGACTATTATGAACAATTATATACCAACAAATTGGATAACCTAGGAGAAATGTAAAAAAGTACAGAAACATATAACCTACCATAACTGAATCATAAATAGAAAATTTGAACAGTTCAATAAACAAGTAAGGAGATTGGTTTGGTAATAAAGTCTGTCATCAAAGAAAAGCTCAGAACCTCATGGCTTCACTGCTGAATTCTACTAAACATTTTTAAAAGAATTAATGCCAATATTTCTCAAACTCTTCCAAAAAAAATTGAAGAAGAGGGAAAACTTTCTAATTCATTTATAAAGCCAGCATTACCCTGATACCAAAACCAGGTAAAGACACACAAGCAAAGAAAACTGCAGGTCAATATCCCTGATGAAAATAGATACAAAATTCTCAACAAAATACTAGCAAATCAAATTCAACAACATATTACAAGGATATTCACCATGGTCAAGTGGGGTTTATCCTTGGAATGCAAGGATGGTTCAACATATGCAAATTAATAAATGTGATACACCATATAAACAAAATGAAAAACAAAAACCACATAAACCTCTCAATAGATGCATAAGAATCATTTAACAAAATTCAACATCCTTTCATGATAAAAAAGAAAAAGCCCTCTTAACAAATTAGCTATGGAAGGAATGTGCCTTAATACAATAAAAGCCACATATGACAAGTCTGTAGCTAGCATTGTACTCAGCGTGGAAATTTGAAAACTTTTCCTCTAAGATTGGGAACAAGGCAAGGATGCCTGCTACGTCCTTTCTATTTAACATAGTACTGTAAGTCTTCACCAGAGCAATTAGGCAAAAGAAAGAATTAGAAGGCATCCAAATTAGAAAGGAAGAGTTAAATGTCTCTGTTTACAGACAACATGATGATCTTATACAGATGTTCCTTGACTTAGAATAGGGTTATGTCCCAAGAAAATATCATAAGTTGAAAATCCGTGGCTGAGAGCTGTGTTTCACTGCTTCCACCTAGCATCATGAGAGAAGTATAGTTTCTACTAAAGGTGTATAGCTTTCATACCATCATAAAGTTGAAAAACTAAGTGAAACCATCATGTCAGGGACTGTCTGTATATACAAAACCCTGACAACTCCACAAAAAAAAAAAAAAAAAGAAAGAAAGGAAAAGAAAAAAAACACTTTTAGGATTGATTAACAAATTCAATTAAATTGCAGTACATCAAATCAATGTACAAAAGTCAGCAGCATTCTGTACACTAACAATGAACTATCCAAAAAATAAATTTAAAAAAATCCCATTAACAATGGCCTTAAAAAATACTTAGGAGTAAATTTAACCAAGGAGTTGAAAAATCTATATACTGAAAACTAGAAAATATTAATGAAAAATTTGAAGAAAACACAAAATAATGCAAAGATATCCCTTGCTCATGGTTTGGGAGATTCAAATGTCCCAAATCTCCCATCTTAAATGGTAGATGTTAAAATGTACATACTACCCAAAGCAATCTACAGATTCAGTGCAATTCTCATCAAACTTTCAATGCCATTTTTACAGAAATGAAAACAAAGTTTCTAAAATTTGTATGGAGCCACAAAAGACTTCAAATTGCCAAAATACGGAAGCAACCTAAGTGTCTATCAATAAATGAATGCCTAACGGAAATGTGACATATATAACAAAGAAATACTGTCTTTTTTTAAAAAAATAATGTCATTTGAGAAAACATGAATGAACCTGGAGGACATTATGTTAAGTGAAATAAGCCAGGTACAAAAAGACAAATACTGTATGATTTCACCCATATGTAAAACCTGGAAGTCAACATCATGGGAGAGTAGAATCATGGTTACCACAGCCCAGGATACGTGCAGGTTGGGAGCTAATAGGGAAAAGGGGAGATGTTGGTCAAAAGATACAAAGTTTCAGTTATACAGGAGGTAGATAATTATATAACATATGCTGTGTATAACACAGAGGGGTGACCATAATTAATAATGTATTGTGTATTTCAAAATAGCTGAAAGATAGATTTTAAATGTTCTCACTACAAAAAGCAATGATAATAAGTAGGGGATGTCATGGATATGCTAATTAGCTTGGCCTAATCATTCCATAATGTATACATATATTGAAACATCACATTGTACCCCATAAATGTATACAATTATTATTGGTCATTAAAAAAATAAACAAGCTTGGAGCAGTGGTTCACACCTGTAATCCCAGCACTTTAAGAAGCCAAGGTGGGAAGATCACTTGAGGCCAGGATCTCAAGACCAGCCTGGGCAGTAAAATAAGACTCCGTTACTCAAAAAGGTAGCCAGGCGTGGTGCTATGCACCTGTAGACCCAGCTACTCAGGAGGCTGAGGTGAGAGGGTCACTTAAGCCCAGGAGTTTGAGGCTTCAGTGAGCCACAATCATAACACTGCAACTCCAGTCTGGGTGACAAAGTGAGACCTCAACTCTAAAAAAAGAAAAAAGAACTAAAAGCACTCTTTAGAGCATCAGAATTGAAAAACAATTATTGGTATAGTCTTCTAATTAGTTGCCCTATATTCCAGTTCTGGACTATACCCATAATTTCATCTTAGACACTGCTTCCAAAAAATGTTCTAAAATTAAAATCACACTAAATATCCCTCAATGTCTTCTAAATAACTTCAGAGGAATTCCCAACTCCTTAGCAGAGACTATAAGGATGTTTGTGATATTATCACTGTCTGCCTCTCCATCCTCATTTCCCTCCATGCTACGACATGCTCTCAGAACTTCTTCCATACACAGATATTTTATAGGTTTTCCAAATATGCAGGTCCTTAAGTAACCACCTATAGCGTGTTTGCCTATTTTGGGTGTGATTAGAAAACAGATTCCTGCTCTCAAAAAAGTGCTGTAGAACTGTCATGCTTTATCCACTGGTACCCTATTTCTCATTTCTCTCTCCCTACCTTTCATTCATTATGCCAACTTCTTTTCTTTATGCTGAACCTTGGGTTCCTTTTCCATTCATGTCTTAATTTCACACATATATCTAGAATAGTGACGAATCCTATTTCTCCTAACTGTAGTCTGACTCTACTTGACCTTATCCCTCAATTTTGTATTCCTACTAATGTCTTTCAGCGTCCCTCATACCAATGTCTCCTCTCTCTGGTCTTTTGAAAGACCATCAGACGTCTAACATTTCTCCAAGTCTGTCCACAGTGGAAGCCTTGTCCATGTTCCCCACCTTGCTGGGGTTGAGAACAAGACTTGAGCATTTGCTTCTGTAAACTCCCATTCCAGTGTCCATACTTTTCACTCCATTTGGAGCGTCCTCTTTCTATTTTGCCTAGAAATGTCTATTCATCTCTAAATCCCAGTTCAAATGTTACCCCCTCTGCAAGATTCTTCTTGATCCTCAAAGCAGAGTTCTATCTTCTTCATACTCTCATAGCATCTTTTAAATACTCCTATTTATTACTAATGTCATTATATTTTTAACATTTTGTTTGCTGTTTATCTCCTTCTAGAGAGTAACATCTTTAAGGACATAAAAATTTTCTTCTTCATTCTTGTATCTGTGGTTCCTGGCACAATGCAGCCATGTTTCTTAAATAACTCAATTCATAAAATCACTCTCATAAAAAATATAGTTGAGGAAGAACAAAAACAGTGGGATACAGGTTGGCAGCATTACGTGCTCAAAAATAGGTTAAGCTGGGTCAAAAGACCTGACTCGCCACTAACTCCAGGAGCAATGAGAAAGCATTTTAAACTGCCTAGATCATGGAATCACTAGATCAACTTTAGGTATTTATCCAACTCCAAATTCCAGTATCATATTGTGGGGGAAGGGGAAGACACGCAACAATTTTTTATCGACAACACCAGACTCTGCAGAGAATTCCGCTGGAGTTTGGTGACCAGTTTATTTTCTCACACGTTGGCAGCAGCAATTCTGTTGATTAGAATAACTTATCAGATACCATCTCCCTCCAGTAAAATATAAACATGTTCATTGCTTTTTCTAAACCCTATATTTTTATGAACATGCCTTCTTTATTTTGTTTGTCTGATCACTGTCCAGCTTCCAAATTAGCAAGAGCTTCTGCAAAGGATTATCTGCATTTCACCGATAGTTACTTCTGAATATGTAAACAGAAGTGCATTGGTTTTAGAAATAATTATTTCTAAGTCAGAAGTTAGCTGCTTCATGAGAAATATCTGATTCATAGAAGAAAATTGCCAATGATATTTGGCTTGGTTTAGTCCAACTTGGATAAGGGTTCCAAATCTGTCATAAATGATATTTGCCCAACCTCATACTCAAAGTGAGGAACATATGCATGTTATCAAGTCATTATCTCATTACTGCCATCAGTTCTACATGTGTGCTGGACAACATGTCTGTCTACGCTAAGTGTGAGAACAAAACCTTAATGCCAAATAG